AACCTAATTCCGTAACTTGTTATTGCTCAAAGTACTTGACTATCATTATTTCTGGTTTCAATCAAGGACCAGTAATGAACTACATGTGTAAAAGCCACCTAGGTGATCATATCAAGTGCTTGTCTGGGAGAACATGTATATGAATTGATATCAGACAGCAAATTCAGTGGATGGAAGGGGAGCTCTATTCCACATGAGCTGAGGAGTTGTTCAGTGGATAGTAAAATACAGAAGTGAACCTAACCATTGATTTTTGTCTGCTCAAAAGCAAATAGGAATCCTGAGTAAAACTGTCCTGTGGGTGGGATACAGCCTCCAAATAAAGAGTTTGATTAGCTTGGGTAAAATTACCCTGACTGCCTCTTGAGATCTGCTCTGTCCTCTCTTTTATTACTGCAACGATGCACAAATTCTGGGATGCTTTTGTGAACTGAGCTGTCTGTGTCATTCCAGATCCTGTGCAACTGATCTACAAACACCCCTGAAACCATTTGCAAGGTATTGTCATCAAAAGCCTTGCGGGAAAGATCTTGCAAAATAAACCACCATATGGCAAATATTTGCTATGATCCACCTGTGACTGAAATGACTAGAGCATCCTTTGTGGGACTCTTACCCACTGACTCCTGTTGTGATGAGTTCATATACTGATCTTACCAGTATCTGGAGAGGTCAGAGTTTCAGCCTTGTGAAACTGGTTTGTCTAACCTTGTAAAAAAATAGATTGTCCAGAGAGTGATTTCATTTCAGGTGGATGTCTATGGACCATTGAAGAGTTTTGTTCGTCTAGGGGAGTCTTGTCTGTCAATGTAGGGGACACACGTCTAGCCCCTCAGGCTGTTCTCTCTCTTATATTACATGAAGCTCCAGCCCTTGGAAGAAGATGGGAACACAAAGTGAGACACAGCAACAGGTTCTGGAGCTGAGCAGTTGGTCAGTCTGGGTAACAATCAAGTTAATTGCTTTGTTGTCTCTCCACATGCCTAACTGAGACACCAATTGCAGAAACTGGAGAGGAATGGTACCACCTGCCTCAAACACATGCTGGGTGTTTCCAAGTCTGTCCTGAGAGTGAAGTGCCACCAAGGCACTAGCCCAGTGGGGCCCTCACTGTCTGGATTGCTTGGAAGGTGTATGACTATAAAAACAAAGGATGAAAGAGCTCTGATCTCTGTGTTGAATCAGTTGCCTGTATTGCTTTATTCCAAACCAAGCACAACATGGAACTAGAATATTTACATATACAAAGTTTTATTAGTTTTGTGACTACACCAGAGAAAAATCTCAGATCATTGACTGACCCTGAGGGCTGGATGTTCAAAGGGAGGATCCCCTCTGCACATCATGCAACTGATGCTACATGGAGTAAGTGGGTCACACTGATCATACAACAGGATCGAATAGAAAACCCCAGTCATCCAGGAATCTTGGAAGTGATCATGGACTGGCCAAAAGGCAAAGATTTCAGAATATCGCCAGGGGAGGAGGTAGTGTGTGCTGAAGAGGCCCCACTGTATAATCTGCCAGAAAATGAGAAGCAATATGCCCTGTTCACTGATGGGTCCTGTCGTCTTGTGGGAAGGCATCAAAGATGGAAGGCTCATGTATGGTGGCAAATGCCCTGTAGGGGTGGGTGCAGTAAAGGAAGCAGAGCAACTGGCAGTGCAGAGGCAAAACCATCTGGGCTACCACATTGTGGCAAGATATTGTTGCCCAGGTAGAGAACCTGGCTGTAAAAGTACAACATGTACATGCTCACGTACCCAAGAGTCGGGCCACTGAAGAACATCGAAACAACCAGCAGGTGGATCAGGCTGCTAAGATAGAAGGGGCCCAGGTGGATCTGTACTTGCAACATAAATGTAAATTATTTCTAGCTCTGTGGGCCCATGACACCTCAGGGCATCAAGGAAGACATGCAACATACAGATGGGCTTGTGATGGAGGGGCGGATTTGACCATGGGTACTATTGCACAGGTTATCCATGAATGTGAAACATGTGCTGTGATCAAGGATGCCAAGTGGTTAAAGCCCCTCTGGTATGGAGGACGGTGGCTGAAATATAAATATGGGGAGGCCTAGCAGATTGATTATATCACACTCCCACAAACCCACCAAGGCAAGCTCCATGTGCTCACCATGGTGGAAGCAACTGCCAGATGGCTGGAAACATATCCCGTGCCCCATGCCACTGCCCAGAACACTATCCTGGGCCTTGAAAAGCAAGTCCTGTGGTGACATGGCACCCCAGAAGGAATTGAGTCAGACAACAGAATTCATTTCCAAAACAACCTCATAGACACCTGGGCCAAAGAGTGTGGCATCGAGTGGGTATATCCCATTCCCTATCATGCACCAGTCTCCAGGAAAATGGAACGATGCAATGGACTGTTAAAGACTACCCTGAGACCAATGGGTGCTGGGACATTCAAACACTGGGATATACATTTCGCAAAAGCCACCTGGTCAGTCAGCACTGGGGGATCTGCCAACCAAGCTGGCCCTGCCCAATCAAAACTTTTACTTATTATAAAAGAGAATAAAGTCCCTGCAGTGCACAAAAATATGCTGGGGCAGACAGTCTGGGCTTTTCCTGCCTCAGGTAAAGGCAAAACCTGGGTGCGCTTGGTGGATGATACAGGAGGATGGGGAAGTCCAGTGTGCACCTCAAGGAGATTTGATTTTGGATGAGAATAGCCAATGAATTAAATTGTATTATGTTAATTGCTATATAACACTGTACATCATCATTCCTAGGGTGGCTCTATGCCATATCAATAGTATTACAGTAAGAATCACCTAGGTTAATGAAGAATGAACTTTGATGAAGCTGGGCAAAGTGCAGCAATGATGGAACTGGACAAGCGCAGCACCAATGGAACCAGAACTGGCTTCAGCATGCAAAAATCCAACACCGCACATTGTCTCTCCTGAAGGGCTGTTATGATAGATGGACTAAGTGAAGTCAACGAACATTTTATAGGGATGGCCACACAGACTAAGGGAATGATATCTGTGTGTATATATCAAAAGACAGGAAAGGTGGTGTTGATTAATTGGGATGTATAAGAAAGTGTGGGACCTGGCCATGACGTAGATGGTATAAAATAAGGAGCCGATATTGTCCTGGTTTTAGTTGGGACAGAGTTAATTTTCTTCCTAGTAGGTGGCATAGTACTGTGTTTTGGATTTAGTATGAGAATAATGCTGATAACACACTGATGGTTTAGTTGTTGCCAAGTAGGGCTTACACCAATCAAGGACTTTTCAGCTGCTTATGCCCTGCCAGCGAGAAGCTGGGAGGGGGCACAGACAGGAGAGCTGACCCAAACTGGCCAAAGGGCTATTCCGTACCATATGGCATCATTCTCAGTACATAAACTTAAGGGGACTTGGCCAGGGGGTGGTGACCGCTGCTTGGGAACTGGCTGAGCATCAGTCATTGGGTGGTGAGCAATTACGTTGTACATTCTGAATATTCTTTTTATTATTATCTTTATTATTATTATCCCTTCCTTTTCTGTCCTATTAAACTGTCTTTTTTGCAACCCATGAATTTTACTTTTTTTTTTCCCAACTCTCTCCCCAGTCCCACTGTTGGGCGGGGGGTGAGCAAATGGCTGTGTGGTGTTTAGCTGCTTACTGGGTCTTACAAGACCCAACACTGGCACCAGGCAGCCTGTCCTAATAGCCACCACCATGACTGCTGAGTTTGCCCCATGCAGTTTGCATCGAAACCTGCTGAAATAAGGTCCTCTCTAAGCTTACAGGGGAACCTGTCTGCTCTGTGCCACCAGAGATAGTCACAGGTGTTGCTGGAAAACACATTAGCCCAAACATCAAAATCGTTCTTTCATATAAATCTGATTTCCGCAGCTCTTCTGATTTAACTTTCAGTGTCTGCTGAGACCTCTTTCTGATTGCTCTGACCACCAGAGAAGATGTGAATGCATTAAATAAAAATACTTCAGGACCACAGTACTCATCTGCTAGCACTGAAGCAACAGACATGGAAGCCAACATTGCTAACTGATCCTTTAGAGGACCTAACCATCTTTGTAGAAAAGAACCCTTCACTTTGCATTACTGAATAGAATATGTCTCAAAAAGCTGCATATTTTCTTCTTCACCATCTCAAAGGCAGATGCCAGTACTGCATCCGTCTGTATTAAAAGCTCTTGAAAAGCTCAGCATTGTCTACCTGAGAGGGAGCTTGCAAAAAAAGCTAAAATTAAGATCAAAATATCAATGGCATTTAACTGAAATCCAAAATCAGACATGTAGGCTCAGATCAGGACTCAAAACTTTGTCTTAATCTAATTTTATCCAAACAGTTCAGTAATAATAAATGTTTATAAAATCCACATGAAAGAATTCAGGGGGGTTCCCAAGACCTGTAATGAGAGCTGGCATCTCCAACTCTGCATATTAGCAAACCCAAGCACTCACTGAATAGGTGGATCCAGAGAGCACTTGACAAAGACAGAGCTCCCTTCGCACCCTGAAAGGCTCTGAAACATTTTGCCAAGTGTGATAAGAGCTTCAAACATTTACCTGCTTTGGGATGCATGAAGGAATCGGCACCATTGCAGCCAGCCCCCACCTTTCCTAAGGTGGCGTGCATGTTCTCATTGCTCATTTAAATACATGGTAAGTTTTGAGCAGTAGTAACAGAACTAGTCTAACAGCTCCTAAGAACAAAGTTCTTAATTCATGAAGCAAATAAAAGCATGGGAAAGCATAGCACAACCTTCCCTCAGAGGACTCCCTACAACTACATGCCCTACAGAAGGCTCAAAGAGCGAGAAAAACCAAAGAAACACTGCCTGATAAAAGCAATAGATAACAGCAAGAAACAGTTAGAAGGTGGCTGCTTTGGACCCACAGGTGACACCTTGTCCCATCTCCCACCAGATGAGAACAACAGACTGCCCTTCCTAAGGTGATCAGCATCAGGTAACCTGGGAGAAGGACAGGACTCTTTCCAAAGACACTGTACCTGCAGGATGACCCAGTGACCCTCCTTCGCAGCCAGATCTAGAGCTTGTTCAGCAACTACCTCTTGACCTTGTCCAAGGGAAACATTGTGGAAATTCCTGTTGTTAAATGTGTAACCAAGTTTCTTCCCTAAAAGAAAAAAAAAAAGAGGTGCTCAGCACTTTTACCTGGAACGGCACACAGCACAGCTGAGCTCACACAGCAGCAGCGAGGCATAGTTCAGGCTTATCAAAAACCCTCACAGAAGAGCTATTGCACTTCTCATAATAGTTATCTTGTCTCTCACACGCTCCTTGCCAAAGCACTGAAAACAGCAGTGGCTTCTTCCAAACTACTTTTAATTACAGAGCGGCATCAACACAAAGGTACATTATTACAAAGTGCTTCTTGTTTAAAGAACATTATTCCCCTGAAACCTTTTTTAAAAACATATTTCACAGTGATAGGAAATTAAAATCATTT